TGAACAGGAACAACTGGTATGCCCCTGACCTTCAGAAATACTAGAACTCCCATCATCAGCCTTACATACTTATTTGCCTGCTATAGTTAACAGATACTACAGTACTTCTACAGCTTTCAGACATATTTACAAACATTTATTATAGATTTGTTGCATCTTATTCAGCGATAACTTACACCACAAAGACTGCAAGTTTGTTATACAAGATTATCTACTCAGGTTCTGAAGGAGGTTACCCCCAAGCTTCGTAATTCAACCACAGTTGTCAGCACCAGCTTTATCTACATATGTACCATTTATCATTGCTAACGGTAGTTCACATGTAATGTGTTACCACTCCAAGAAGCCCTTGTGATTTGGTCAGCACCAACTAAACAACCACTATTTTTAATGCTATGTGATTAAGATCTGCTCAGAACAAAACAAAACAACTTGCTACTCAAAGACAGCTGCAATCCCTTCAGAAGTGGGCTCAAAGCTTTTAATGCTGGTTCCAGTGAATGAGGGATGGTAACAAACAAGATATAACAGTAAAGGGGGGGAGGGGGGGCGTGTGTAGGAATACAACAAAGGGCCAAGCATCAGATAAAAGAACGCAGCTGAAACTGCTATAGCACAGAATTAATAATTTAAAGTTTACCAAACTCGCAAGAGATTAAAAAAAATTCTGAATACCCCTTCCTCCTCTTTCCTTTTGAAATGACACCTTCTTAATTCAGCACAGGTTGAGGTGCTTCCCCTTACAGAAGTTAGAAACAGTTAACTTCACAGAAGCTTAAAGAAGGTAAGTACAGCAAATTCACATAAGTTGCTGCACTACAACAGCAGTGATGAACTACCAGTTCTCTATGACTACCCTAGTTGCTCCTCAGCGGCTCACCACAGTATTTTTTGTGCTGAAAGAAGAGGTCTGTGAGAGTGACAGTGTGCTATGTCATCTGTACACCACACTGCACCCACGCCAGTACCATCCTTCAACAGATTCTGCAAGTTGAAACAGCATTTACTCCTGAGCAACCAAATCATGCAAAGAGAAAGGGCTCTGAAACAAGTGTAATGCAATAAAAGGCATACTACTTAAAGTATGCCTTAAGAACTCCCATCAAGAGGGAAGAGTCCTTTAGGAACCTACACAAACGTCAACATCTCTGCTCCATCAGCCTCTAAGAGTTGGATAGGCAGCACCTTTACTCAGAGCTCTTGAGCCTCTTCCTCAGTTACTCATGCCCGTTCCCATGCTGAGCAGGGGCCTGTTCCCTCATCAGCATCGCAGCACAGCCGCACACCAGCTCCTGCCTACAGCTCAGGTGCGGCAGCCGCAGGGAGCGCCAGGCCGGCCCTCGACGCTCCTGCCAGGCGGGCTCCCGTCACACCGCCGCTCTCCCCGTGTCCCTCCAGGAGAGGAGCCCTTCCCCTCGCCCCCCTCCAAACTTCCCCCACCTGTTGCCCTGCACCCCGGGGACAGGGCTGAGCGCCACAGGCAGGGGCCGAGCGGCAGGGAGCCGCTGAGGGCGAGCGCGCGGCTAACGGCACCGCGGAGCCGTGTGGGGGGCGGCGGGAAAACAACACCTCCTGCCCACACCCCCCCCTACACACACCCCCCGGAGGTCTGCGCCCCACGTGATTCAAGCTCCACTCCCCCCACGGCAGGGCGCGCGCTGCCCCGGCACCTCCCGCGGCTCCCTCCCGCCGCCGCTGCCTCACCGGGCGCCGCGCTCGCTCCCACCGCCGGCTCCGGAGGCGCGGATCAGCTGATTCACGCGGGGGCGCGGGAGGGGCGTCCGCCGTGCAGGGGGGTGGATCCCGGCGTCGGCCCGCGCGCGCAGCGGCACTGAGTAAAGAGGCCGCAGGGCGCAGGCGGGATTCGGCCGCCGCCACGACGGGTCCCGGCCCGGGACAAAACAGTCGGAGAGCGAGGCCCGCCGGGCCGCGGGAGGTCGGTCAGGTGGTGTTGGTGTTGACAGCACATTGGGAGTGGTAAACAGCAGGTGCGTGAGTCTGGTTGTGCAACACCAGCATTAGCGTGCCGGCCCCAAGAGTCACCTGAACATGTATTTCAAACTGTATGGGGCACAGATAAGGAGCAAAGCTGTAACCTACACAGGAAGCCTGACTAATACCCGGTAGTATCCTCCCATGCTCCATAAACCCTCTGAGTTCAGCTACTGGTTTGAATGGGAGCAGGCCTGCACCAGTTTGCTGACCTAGGGCCCTCCTACAGGACAAGCAAAACAGTTGCTTACCTTTGTATGTAGGTGTACATTAGATGTCTACATGCGTATGTACAAATTGTGCACACATACACAGCTATATATGTTTGTACATAATATACAAACATCCATAAGTGCATATACAGACTATTATATATATACAACCATACGTGTATGTACATACCATCATATATACACCTGTATGTGTATATACATACCACATACATGTGTTTCTACTTTAAAAAGCTCTGCAAAATGTATTTTTTATGTTATGTCTGCACTTGGAAGACGATTTCTTACATTGCCTGAAGCTTTCTTTTAAAACCATGGTTCTGATGACAGCTAAAGGCTCTCCTTTATAAACTCTTTATGTTTTCTATGGATAACTATTAAACATTTCTGTTAGAGTGTTTCACCTGCTAAGTGGAATGAATACTCCATTTGATTTTATCTTTTTCCAATACTCAGAACCACCAGCTATTACCCCACTTTCTTCATTTACCAGCTCTTGCTAGCTGGTGAAAGTTGCATGACTTTTCTTCATAACAGACTGATTCCCCTCTCCTTCCTAACAGAAAATGTAGCTAAAATTAAAATTAACAATCTTCATATGAATTAATATGTAGTTGATATTTTTATATTGTCTACTTTTTGTACTTTTTCTTTTTCCATTTCTTTAAAAGGCAAGTATTTCTTAGGCTTAGATGTATTTTAAAAGTCTATTTGTATAAATATGGATAACAATTAAAAGTATTTTCCAGAATAAGAAACTCTGTGTAGATATGCATCAGTTTATTACTGAGTTCATTGCATCTAGACAGCCTTTATAACGCCTGAAGAGCACAATCCAATTACTGCTGTATTTTGATGGCTCAAAGAATACATGGAAAATAAATAGAAGGCTGAGGTTCATGATGATAGATATTTAGCAAATTACAGCTAACTGGGAAGTGAAAAAGAAAATCATGTGAGAGAAATCAAGCCTTCCAGGTGTGTTAGCTCCTTCTTGCCATGCAAAGGCTGGGCAGTTTGGTTGCAATGAGACACAGAAATTGTCCCTGCCTTCCCAGGAGATTGTTGCTTTAAAATATATCCTTTTGCTCAAGGAAAGAGTGTTATTCTTAGGCACCAAAACTGTGAAGCAAAGGGGAGCATTCACATCATGCATACAAATGAGAACTGAAGGACCTAAGGGGTTGGCATAAAAATTCTGTGGTATGATGCCTGCTCCCTCACCCCTTGCTAGCATTTTCTCAATGTGGGTTGGGTGTTAGTCCTAGGAAGCTGCACAGAAAGCCCTACTCATTGGGGACTGAAAGAAGGGGACTTCTGTCTGTCCACATTCAGTGTAAACCACTATGTGTTGTCTACTTAGCACATAATTGATGAAATCTCTTTGAGGCTGGATTAATCCGGTTGGTCTGGCTATTCTGACAAGCCTATTTTCTACCAGCTGAAACTCACTGTATCCCTTAGACAAGTGATCCAACAGGGACAGACAGCTCCCGAAGCTGACATTGCCACCACATCATGGTTAGGAACATAAATACCAAAGCAAGGTCGATGCTCCTGGAGAAACCACAGCTCAGCCACACTGCTCAGATAGCTCAACTTAAAGCCTAAAGGCTTTAAGTTAGGCTAAAGCCTAAAGCCTAGAATAGTAACTGCTACAGCCATGGAGGGAAGTCAAGGTCTGTTCTTGTATGAAACCTATCACTTCCTTACCTAACATATTACACTGAGAGCTGCTTAAGTGAAATAAATTTGAAAGCACAGGAAGTTTGAATTTACTGCTTATTTCTCCATCTTTAGGTGTAAAAACCACTGGCTGTTTATGGAGCATGCATGCCAAATGAGCTGAAATCAATAGAGCTACTCCAGGGGTGAATCTGGCTCACTGAGTGTAGGACTTCCAAATAAAAACTGCAGAAATCACAAGACTGCTTGAGGCAGAGACCTCATACGAGTCATATGAACTCTTATTACAGACAGAGGGATGAGGAGGAGCAAAGGAGAGAAAAATAGGTACATTTGAACTGAAACAGGACAACATGGGAGGAGACCTGTTATGTGTAAGTGCTGTCAGAACAGCAATACATTCACATTTGCATATAACCAGACAATATCAAACTTTGCAGCTTTAGATTTAGGAGGACTCTGTGCCTGTGATGAACAGGGAGAAGATGGCACTCCAGCAAGTTCTATGCCAGTGAGGGACTGTAAAACAGGGAGGGAACCAACAACCTACAGTTCTGGAAGAGGCAGCATGCCATAGATTACAAATCCTGTTATATTTGAGTCAAATGATAATGCAGGCACCCAGCCAATGTGGCTGCTCAGGAGGAGCTTGCAGCTTGCCTGCCGTTCATTACTACTATTTTTATAGTTGTATTGTTCGTGGCACTGTTATGCTATATGAGCCAAATTAACACACTGTGTAAATTAGAACAGTGCAGGGAGGAGGGTGTTAAGGAACAGAAGGCATAAATTTAGATTTCCTGAAATTTCACTACTGCATTTGGTTTTTAGTCTGTGCCCTAAGAGACTGCTATCTAGAGACGAATAAATCAAGGGTAAGAAAGAGTAACACACATTTAGAATGTTAGCAGTAGAAGTGTCCTCTGCAGTTAAGGCAGTTTTATCTTTGTTCTCAGGGTGATCAGGAACATACAGGTAGTTGTTTCCCTTACAAATGGAGCTAAGAAACTGTACTGGAGATGTGTGACTAATGGGGAGGGAGATGAAAATGATGTGCAGTGCTCAAAGCCAGTGCAGTCAGGGAAGAAATGAAACACATCAGTAACACGGTGGGTTGCCAGCTATACAATTTGCCTTCTTTTCCTGTGCCAACTGTCGGATGTAACCAGTTCACCCCTTCCTCTACCCTCATAGCAGCCCCCACAGCTTCACACCCGCTGGAGTTGGAGGGCCAGGATGCAGAGGCCTTGGAGTCACACTGATCCTTTCCAGGAGCAGGATGTTGTGAAGAGCTTCAAATGGGTGAGTGTGCAGCATGTATAGAGCCAGACAGAAGATATTTCACCCTGTGATTATTCCAGCTATGAATTTCACTACCGAATGACATGCTAGTAGCTTCTTGTTCTACCCAGCAATCTAAAACACATACCAATTTCTTCATGAAACTGAGACCAGGCATGCCCTTTGGAGCTGCCACATCCTATGTACATCTAGAGAAGCTGTGTGAAGGATCCTGTGCAAATGTGTACAAAGGGATCAGCAGGTAAGCCAGGACCACTGGTGCCATTATTGTCTTCCTAGCATCTGTTGAAAACACCTGTTATGGGAGATAAAGACAAACTGAATGTCCACCTTTGCCTTTAATGAGGATACTCACAAAGCTCTGAGTTTCTCTGGGAACTCCTCTACTATAGCCATTTGGTTCCACAAAGACACTGTGCTCCACAGCAGCATGCTGGAAGATTGTCTGGCTGCACTAAGGAGGGAATGAGCATTTTCCTTTAAATGAGGGATCCCTGCATGACAGAAAAGCTGGGGATAAGGCCATGCTGCCATCATGCAGGGGCAGGAAAACTGTGAGAGAGCAGAGTGGGAACATTGCCCAAAGCCAGGCTCTAACAATACCCAGTCAGCAGAACTAGCCAGGCAGGCTGGCTCCTGTTCCACTGCTAATGAGGACAAGATGGAGGTGGTTTGTAATTGCCTTCTGAGCTTGGCCTGGGTGAGAGAGTGAGCCCTAGAAATTTTGCTTGGGTAAGTGTGGGGCACTTAACGGGAGACCACTAACGTTGCTATGCCAGACACCACTCTGCCCTGACAGGATCAACAGCCAGTTGGTGGTGCTGAAAGTGATCCGGCTAGAGGCAGAGGATGGAGTGCCCTTTACAGCCATTCAGGAAAGTAAGGCAGAAAGAGCTGCTTCAAACATGGGTGAAGAGCGAGGAGCATCATTGTGCCGGCTGCAGCCAGAGCATGTCCTTTCTAGCAGTGTAGGGGCCTTCTTAACCTCTTGCCTGCTCCGTAGTTGCTTTTGCATTCCCGCATCTGTACTCTAGTGCTGCATGGCAGGTCTTGCCGCTGTTGCATTGGGCAGCTGTGGACTAGAAGTGCCCTTTGTACCAAGGTCTCTGCTTGCTCTTACCACAAACAATCTGGCTGATACCTGAAGCATCCAGGTCTGATCCCAGACTGAAGAGAAATGCTCTCAATAAAACTGGTGTTTAATAACAGCTATCATTTCAGCTGCATGAGAAATTATTTCTGTCGGTCAACTTTGTAGAGCACTGGCAAAATGTCTGCAGCTCTCTCAATTTCTTTGAGAAAAAAATACTTTTGTTTAAGTGCTTGATTTTGGCTTAACGTATTTACATGTCCCCACAGACCAAGTTTATACACTGCCTGGCTGATTAAGGCTTCTATTTTTGTCTGCTCTACGGTCCCAAGAGGATCACAATCTGATTTCTTCCTTACACAGAAACATGCAACCTTTGTGCTAGTCTGTTGTCTGGTGTTAGCGAGAGCCGTCGATGTAAGAGGTCACATGTATTTTGTTTTTTACGTGTTATTGCAGTTCAAAACTAGGGCTGGGATAGAGAATCTGGGACCAGATGTGCCAGCTTTCACAGAGCAGCCGTAGTATAGAACGACTCTCATACCAGTCAGCTAAGAGTAACAAGAGAGGTCAGTGGATGCACTCCAGGTTTATAACAATGTAATTAAGATAAGAAAGTTTACAAAGTCCTTAGTCAAATTCTGGGAAAGCAGAGAGATACCTAAATACACCTATTTACAGAATGGCTTGTGTTACAGTTTCCTATACATTCATTTGCTGTGGTGCTTTTGATCTGCATTTACAGAGCCCACCAGTAAAATAAGCCTTAAAAGCTTTATCTGCATAGAACTAATGATGCTCTGAAGATCAGCGCCCCTTTAACATGCTCTGCTGGACAGGCTGAGAGCCTTAACTTCATTCATTATGGGAGAAAACAAGGGTGATCCTGTGAAAGATCTATTTTAAGTAGATCTTTTGTGTACTGCTGAGCCTTGCAGCATCTGACACCTCAAATTTACAATGTATGTCAGTCGGGCAAACAAAACACAAGATTTATTAACTACCTGCGTTCTATGCTACCCTGGAGGAATGGTACTCTTGTGACAAAAAGCAGCTTCACCCCAGGAAGTCCCACAGAGACAAAATGCCTTTAAAGCTCAGTTCTGGCTGTAGCACCTGACACCCCAGCAGGGGGTTGTAGAAGCAACCAAGTGAGGAGCATTTCCCAGAGGCCTGATTCAGGCACAGGGGCTAAATTCTCCATTTACTGTGAACCCTCCATGCTACTCCACTGGAGCAACAGCTCTGGTCATATGGGGGTTTTTGAGGTATTGCAGAGCCAGGTTAGCAGCCCTTTTCCACAGCAGGTGGCATCTAGACAGAATATCTTTACTGGGTTCATAAGCAATTAGATGCGATGCAGAGCATGTTTAATGTGCATGCTGCTGTGCACTGGAAACATACTGGTGGTAGCTAAATGGACTAGCATCAGTACTAGAGGCAGTTTAGCTGCAGCAGCAGCACCTAGCTCTTCACATGAACTAATTTACAGTCTGTGCTGTTTCCAGCCGTTATGGTGAATCAGGCATCCCTTGCTGCTCAGCAGTCTCAGTACTGACATATGCTTAGGCCACAGCTAAGCATATACACAGATATACAGTATATCTGGCTGTATGGCTTTTAGAACCATGTGAAATTGTTATGGTCACAAAACGCAAAGGGCTAATCCAGTATGAATTTGCCTTGCCAGCGTGAAATTCTTTTAATATCTTCTGCAGACTGTTTGAAAAACAAAAAGCAGCTTTTATCCAGGACCAAACCTCATTTGGCCTCCCACGGCCAGCCCAGCCTCTGTATTGTGTGCTTTACTAATTCAGCAGAAATGAGATTGGATGTCCATGCCTTATCTGAATGAAATGTGTAGCACTGAGTGGTCTGGCTGTAAACTAATTTGGTTTCAATCAGCAGGGAAAAGTGAGCCCGAAGCAGTTCTGAGGCTGTTCGGGTATTCTGCTATGTCAGAAGCTGAAATCTGGAGTCAGGACCCCTGTTTTTGCTGAGCTCTGGGGCTTCTGTCTGTGCACAGTTTTGGTGTAACAGCTGGGTCAGATTATTCAGCAGTGCCAGGGATCTACAGGCAGAATTATGCCTGTTCCACTCCTTCCCCACATCTTCCCTGTGCAGAGCTATAGCAACAATTGTCTCAAACCTAAGGTAGCAAATAATGAAGCTGTGAATGCTCTTCCCCCATAAAGACTATGTTTGAAACTTTCTGCTGAGAAGCTGCCTTCCAAGAGAGTCGGCTGGAGCCTGCACTACCATGACAAACCTAACACAATGCTGAAAGGCTCAGAGATCTGTAGTTTATGTCTTGGCATCAGTCAGTGCTCTGCGGCCTGCATGGCAGCAGAGACTATTCCACATGCTGCCACTTCCATCACCACACCTGAGATGTGATGAGGCTTGGCAAAGGCATGTCAGCAGGTAAGGACAATGGCCGCATGGCTGCAATGGTGCTTTTGGATGGTTAGGCTGAAAGAAAAAAAATGTACCAAAGTTGTATAAATACAAACAAGTTACTGTTCACTTGGTAACTTCATCATCTCTGCTCTTTGAGTTTTAAATGGGATAAAGTAACCAATATGCTTTCTCCAAGCTAAAAGCACAGAGCTAAATTCAGAATTCAGCTTAGCATCTACAGTCATTTCTTTTGCCACATTTCTGCACCTTGATATTGTGAAGCTGGAAACTGATAGAAACTCAGCTTTCCCCAGAAGTCTCCCAGAGGCCCAGCTGAGGGCATGTGCCAGGAGGCAGATGGAAGAAGGATGAGAAGCTCAGTGACAGGCTGGAGGCTGCTGCATTCTGTCTCTGGGAGCTCCCAGAGCCATCCTCTTGGCATTTGCCTTGAAGAAATCCCTTCTCCTCAGCTGAGAAGCTGACAGCTGGGAACTGCAGGCTTCTATTTCTGACAGAGCAGGATCCCACCTCTGAGAGGAGGACAGGTTCCTGCCAAGCCCGGAGCACTGATGCTTGCTTCTCTAAGGAGCTGTTCCATCCTCCTCCAGACTCAGTAGTTGCTGCTTCTTACAGAACTGCCAATTCTGGACTATTTCTCCCCAGTTTTTTATTCTCATTGCCTTGCTGTGTGCACCTTCTTCTTCCATTTCCAGCAGCAATGATTAAATTGACCTTCCTTTTGTGATTTTCCAGCTTCCCTTCTCAAGCATTTGAAACATGCCAATGTTGTACCGCTTCATGACATTATCCAGACCAAGGAGGCACTAACATTTGTCTTTGAGTGCAAGATAAGTTGTTGGTTTTCTAGCTTCCTGTGGAGCTAGTTGTGGTAGTTAGATTCCAAAGACTAAAGAACTGAGCCCATTTATAATAAAAGCAGCAAAGCATTTATTGCATTACATACATACCGACCCCACTATACAGCACATGAGGACACCGAGAATAAAGTTTTTCCCCAGAGATTTCATGAGGGATTTGGCTGAGCTGGGTCGGCAGGCGCAGCTCTGAAGCAGGTGTCCCCACGGAGGCGATGTTGTCCTTGGTGCTGCGGCTATCTCCTCGACTCTGGAGCTCTCTGTCTTTTATTCCTGAAGGACTGCCCAGTTGTTTTGGCACGTGTGGCTAACCTGTGCCGGGAGAACCATCTGCCCCGTTCCTCTCTAGGGGCCACTTTGCGCCTGCCCAATTATGCTCTGGGGGCTGCTCCTCAACTCAAGGGTCATTACTTCATCTTTCATGGTCTTCCTCTCTCACCCTTTGGCCAGCCCTTTCAGTGGTTTCCACAGAGTTGCATACCTCAGCATAAAAATTTTAACGTGGTGCACTGAGTCCTTCTGTTATGTACACAGTTCCTCCTTTCTCTTTCACTTGCCATCTCAAAACGTCCTCATAGTCGTCTGTGTGGTGAACTTGTGTCTGCATTACAAGCCAAGAGGAAAATTCACTCTTACAGCCTCCTAACACACTAGTACTGTTAAGTGGCTGCATAATGAATTTACTGCATTATGGAATATCTATAGAGACGAATTGTTAGTGCAATGATTGATTTTGTTTTCTGATCTCTTGCTTTCCAGACACACAGACTTATTCTTTTCTTTCTGTATATGACAGCTGTATGCAAAAATGATCCCACACCTTGTCTTCACGAGAGTGGCAGACACTGTTTAGCACCACTTCTGCCTTGACAATGCAATAAACCTACTGTTCTTGAGCCACAGTAAGGATAGGAAATAATGATACATCCCAGTTGGGGTCAGATTTGGCACTGACCCCAGTGGCTCACCATGACGCAGCTGCAGCTTGCTGTCATGGGGAGAGCAGGATGGTAATAAAAAAAGTTCTCTGCATGAATCTTGCTATTTCTGTTGCTTTTGCTGACAGCTGTCAACCAAATCATAAGGAAAATATAGAGGCTATGTCTTTTTCCTGCAGCTTTATGATTAATTATGGCACAAGCATGAATTCACTTAACTATCAGCTTCAGTTCATAAACTGCTAGCATGAGATAACGTCAGCAAGGTCTCTGATTTGACCCAGCACTCAAGCACATCCTCGTGTCCTTATCAGATCAGATGTTCACCAAGGTGAAAGAGATGCCCTTATAGTGGTTGCATATTTTTTCCATTTACAGAAGAGGCATTATTGGTAGAAGCATTTCACACAAGTAGCTTTGCCTCAAGTTCTCCTATTTAGCGCACAGACCTAGCACAGTACATGGGCCAGCATCCTGGAGGACTTCATTCGTGCAATGTTATGGTGAGTTCCTTTGAATACTTATAGCCCTTGAAGCATGAGGAAATGTTATTTTCTACTGTGTACAGTCATTGTAAATTGCTTACTGGTATTTATTTGTTCCATAGATGACAAAAACTTTAGAGGAAAGCTGCCTTCCATAAAGATTTAACAACCTCCCTGTCAGTCTCCAAAGCCATTTTTTGGTTAGTCCCTCTTCACATTTTCTGAGCCTGCAAGAGGACGTGCAGCTTTTGTGAACAATGACATCTTGTGGCAGGGAAATCTGCCTCTACACAAATTTGTATCCTCTTACCATTAAAATACATTATTCGTCTCTTCTTAAAACCTCTCAAATCTCACTCCTCGTCGGGAACTCTCTGCATATTTATGGTCTTATGGTCACATAAATCCCTTTTGTTTCTACTGCAGCTTTTTGTAATTGGTTGCCTGAACCTGAGCACAGCTGAAGATGTACCCTTACTTTTATAGAGTGATTTTGTCATAGTCTCCTACTCTCTTTTGTATGTGTGTTCACATTTAATTAACTTCCAGGATTGTTGCTGTGCACTGACTTGAGGTTTCAGTGCAGATGTCCTCAGTGAATGCCTGGGTCCTTTTCCTGAGCAGCTTCAGTTAATATATCTTACAGCTGTCAACAATAACTTTGTAACTTATCAAACTGCCTATTCATCTGACTTTGTCAGATCTCTCTGAAGTTCCCCACTGTCACTTCTTATCACAGCTAATCTAAATACTTCTGTCATCTCCAAATGTTGCCACCTTGTTCACATCTGTTTCCAGATAGTTGTTAAGCAACACCAATTCTAAAGAAGTTTCTTGGGGCCTCTGATTTTAAACATCCTTAAAGCTCAGATATGTCCAAGATGCAGTGTTGTAGTTTTGGCACAGATCTCAAGGGTTCTGCTACCAGACAGACTTGTAAAGCACATGGGGTACACGGCTGTAACATGTACTTATGGGCGTTTCTGTGAGTCAATACTAGCCAGCTGCTCTGTTTTCCTGTCTGAAATCCTCATTGTCAGCAGGAACTGAACTGCAAAATTACTTTCTCCTCCTTTAGGAGGGTCAACTGGCTTGCGCCATTTTTGCTGGCAAATGTTTGTTTTTTCTCTGAGTGATTCTTATTGACTATGTTGCAAGTATAGGGAATAGCACAGGGTCTCGTCTCTGGTACAAAAATGACCTATGGGTGTCACTGTTTTTCCTCCTCTTCAGATTGAACTTCTGGTGAAAAATATCTCTTCTCTGGTGAAGTCTAATTGCTTTTGCTGTGTTTTGTTTCTGTCCACTCTCCCACTTCATACATTGTTTCAGCTCGACCTATTTTACCCTAGCCTTATTGACACTGCCATGGTGGTGGGAGTTGGATATTTATTTATTGTTTTTCTAATTGCTTGCTCCGTTCATAATATCTTATTTGCTACATCCGTTCAAATCAGGTCCTTCTGTTTTCACCCAGCTTGAAGGTTAACATCTCACATTGTCAAGTAGGTCTGCTCACTGGTCCAGCTTACCCTTGGCAGAGGTGGTGTGTGCCGCGGCCGCAGCACTCCCTCTGCTGGTGTCCGCGGGCTCAGGTGGGCAAATCTTGCCAGCTCTGTAAACCCTCGTTGCGCTCGGCTGTATGCCTTTGTCCTGAAAGCGGAAATCAGTCTCTCCTGTTGTGAAAGCCGAGATTGCTCCTGCAATCAATAGTCCGCTGCTAAAGAAAAGTTACATTTCCAAAATGCGCACTTAGGGACTGCAATGTAACTGCCCTCCTGGACAAATATTGCCCTCTGAAACCCTCGGAAAGCTGCAGGGCAGTCATTCCCACTGCAGTTTTCCCTTTCTCAGCCACCTCAACTCATCTGGGGATTTTTACTGGTTTCTTACTTGCTTTGTCTCTGCTTTGTTCCAGGAGTTCTCCTGAAGTTCAGAGTTAATGTGTCAATGCAAAGTCACACAAAATCATTTCAGTTTTTTGTTGGCTTTTCCTAGCTTTTCACGTTCCAGCTTTTGCGTGGCCTGGCTTACATCCACCAACAACACATTCTTCACCGTGGTCTGAAACCCCAGAACTTGCTCATCAGTTGCCTTGGTGAGCTCAAATTAGCAGACTTTGGTGAGTCACCATTTGGATACTGCTAATATATCTGTTCAGACCAAAGCTACAGTGTGCATATAGATCTGTATCCACAGCCAATTGGGCACAGAAGCATAACCTTACTAAACTTCAGGAAACTATTTCTGTGGTCAGTCCAGCCTTTCTTGCATTTATTCTGATGGGTACAGGGGGTAACCTCATTTGAGACAGAGCAATTACTGCCACATAAAATTGTTTCAAGGGAATTGAGAATCAGCCCCTCTCTGTTCAGAAAATTAGATAATGCGCACAGTCCACAGCAATGTGCTGAACCAAAAGGCTTTCCTGGCATTGGCTTGGGGTGGCTGCTGCAGTCACAAATGGTAAAGCCCTGTAAAACACAACATACTGCTTGATCTGATTTGCCCCAGAGGCATATTCCAGACACACTTTGTAAACTGCATTGGGATTGCTTGTGTTTAAACATCCAAGAGAAAATAATGTCTTGTTTTGAATTACTATCATCTATGTGTTGTACAGGCAGAAGGATTGTCCTAACAGAGCAGTCTTCTTTATTTTGTTGCAGGCCTTGCTCGTGCCAAGTCCATCTCCACACAGACTGAAGTGGCAACACTCTGGTACTGTCCTCCTGATGTGTTACTTGGAGCTACAGATTCTGATCTAGATATCTGGTATTGACCAATTTTAAAGCATCTGGGGTCCCTTGGGAAAAATCATCTTTACCTGAATTAAATTAAGTCAACCAAGTTACAGTAGACATAGTTGTAAGTAGAGAAATTAACACCTATTAAAACATGAGCTGTGGGGAGTTTTATACACAGAAGCTTTTGGGAATGATGTCACTACATCTCAGCCATGGATTTATATAAACATCATCTGATAACATTTATGAGCTATGCACATCTCATTTGGCAATATTTATGAAGCAATTTCAGGTTTTGCAGAACACCTTCACTTAAGGCACTTAGTGTTTTGTATCTATATGGTTAGCTCAGTCAGTGGTAGCTCTCTGAAGCAATGGCTTTGTGAAGAAACAATGGATCTGCAACTGCCCCAGCAATGGCTTTGGCCTTGGTAAACAAAAACAAACAAAAGCGGCATTAAAGGTTTTCTGAATGGGTCTGGAGATAGAAAGGTATCTGCGATTTTCATTGTTTCTGTGATACTTTGTCCTTCTCAAAGAACACGTCTGAAATGCACTCTGCATTTCATACAGAAGAGCTGTGTTCTGTTAAAGCCTTGTCACCTTACAAACTGTATCCCAAAATCTTATTATGGCTGGGAAACAGGAAATGAGCTGCATGTTTGCTGAAGGGAGAGGAGTCTCTGAGAGTCTCTGAGTCTCTGAGAGCAGACAGAAAGCAGGAGAGGATGAGGACTTACTTCATAGGGGTCACAGTGGTCTTTGGTGTGGTCTGGATGTTTAGTTAGCCCTTCTGGCTCACTTCTGCACCAACCTGAGCCTGTTTCCAGGAATATAGTCCTGACTTACACATAGAAAACATGCAGCTCATGAAGTTGCAGGGGACCACCCATTTTCTGAGCAGTTTTATGTCTGTAGATAGTATTGCTGCTTCACCCTTTCTTCAGACCAGTTAATTTTCTGTCTGTGCCTGGCACACTGGGACTTCTCTTAACTGCTCTGCAGAGTCAGAGGCTGGGAAAGGGTAGGAGTGAAGTAAGCTTAACAGTGTGCAAGAAGAGGGCTGGGTAAGCTTACAAACAGCAAAGCTCCAGGTCCCCTCAGGCTGTATTCCCCTCCAGAGATCTGCGGCTTACTGGAGACTCTGATGGCCTAAGTCTGGAGGGCAGTTCAAGGAAACAGGAGTTTTTGGTTTGTTCACTTCCCTGGGCCTGGTGCTAATTTAATTGCTTTAAGATTTCTCCAAGGAGGAAAACCTTGCTAAATTCTAATGGCTTCCAGCTGCTAAGCCAGTCTAAATAGTCCTGTCTTCTCTCCCCCACTACCTGTCACCTCTCCCCTCCAGACAGTCTCTCAGGAATGTCTGCCGAGTTTAAAGATGCCTGCCTAGCAGATTGGAGGGTTTGTATTAGACAGATGCTGGTGCAAGCCTGTTGTGGTTTTTTTCCTGAAAGTTGACCCCTGTCCAAAGCCCTGGCTACACACAGAAAGCCTGGCATTTCTGCCTGTGCAAAACCAACATGTAGCTCTGCTCTAGTGTAATGAATAGCAACATAAGAGTGATATACAAAAATCCCATCCAGCACTCTGACCAGCTCTAACAGCACAGTACTTTGAGTCCCACTGAACTACATTCACACTATAGGCACCATTGTATATAATGCCTCCTTATAGTAACAACATTCAAAGTGTTTTCCCTAAAGAAAGATGTCACGCTGAGAGAATAGAGAGTACTTCAGTGAGCTCTATTCAGTAACTTCCTCTAACAAGAGTCATTTATTATCTTGATGTACACTGCATTTAAGTTCAATTTTTGTCTATTAGAAAATAATGTGAATTCACACAGATGTTACTTGTCTATTGGGAAGAAAGGGAAAAAAAAAGCCCTATGTCTTTTGGATGCTGCAATTTACATGAAGGCAGACCAGAATGCCCTTGGTAACAGCACGAGACAGTGGGTGTTAAAGCCATGGTTTAAAGAAACCAATTATAGCAAAATAAAATATTATGGCAATTCATGCATAGTGTGCTTGAGCAGCAATACTGTCAGTGGGAGGCACATGGGAAGTGAATGAGGCCTTGAATAGATGAAGAAACAGATACAGAAGGAGGCTCACTCGCTCTTGGCCTAACTAGAAAAACTGCTTTAATCTCCCTGTATCTTCCTTCACTCTCTTTCTCCCTCACTATCTCTTCAGGACTTTAGAAGATTCAATTAAGGGATTTCAGGGAGACTAACGTTTCATAATGTTTCAGGGAGATTACACTGCATATCAGAAAGACTTCTCTGGGGTTTTTATAACACCAAGTGTTTTATGCACGTGCTGCACTGGCAGCTGCTAACATCATGGGAGCCTTAAGACGTGTCTTGTTTTCAGTCAGGCTTTCCTTGTACGATCTTCCATTAAAAAAAACAATACCAAACCAATAATCCCAGGAGTCTTCCCAGGTAGATTCATGTAGAACAGAAGTTCCTGTGGAGTCATTTAATGTGGGTCTGCAAGCCCACTACAGCCTTTCCCCCAGCCCGATTCACGTTGTCCCACTATACTAACCTGGGAGATAAAGACTATGGGCTTCACGGTACAGACCACGCTTGGTGAGGAACACAGGAAAGAATTTCTGGTTAAATATGTAATTGCAATCCCCCAGTGCCAGCAAAACTGTGGAGAGGGAACTCTGGGATACTGCAGAGATATCTTAGGTCTTAATCCTGATGAAATCGTCTCTCCACTATGTAATGCAGCACTGCAGACTGAGGAGTAAGTGCAGTGTTCAAACCCACCTCAGGGAGTGCAGGCAGATGCAACCGTGCTGTCTGAACCAGCTCTGGTTTTGCTCAGTTCCTATAACCAGTTATACCTCTCCTATAGCTTTAGCAGTCACTGTCTTGGTTCATGTGTGTATCTGGCACATGCTGAAACATCAGGTCTAGGCCTCTTCCCAAAAGACCCCTCTCTGCCTCAGCCCTTCCCAAGGCAGCTATATGGGACTGAGACCTTTGAGAAACTTGTAGACTGGAAAGGATAAGAGTGCCTCAGAAATTAATATCAGAGGGGAAAGAAGGAAAAGGGCAAAAACCAAAACACTAGGTCGAAATCCTTAGAAATATTTAAAAGTAAATGTTTCTGAATTATCCTCATTAACAGCAGGATTCTCATAATGCTGTCAGAGCAGTAACTGTAAACCCTGTATCTCAGAAGTTGAAGCCTCTACTGAAAGGCTGATATGATGGTTAGCACTAGTTTCCAAAGTCCTACTTCAACAGATAGACAAGAATACCTAGGGAAAGGGGGAGATGCCCTCACCTCAGTTGTTCTAGCTACTTCTGGCTTTTATTTAAAAAAAAAATGAAGAAAAGTGTATTTCATCTGGAAACAAACAAAGGAGAGAAACAGCGATAATTGCCACTGATGAATCAATGCAGAACCAAGTGGGCATTAAAGGCAGCTGGTCTCACTAAAGAAAACAAGAAGCCTTTCCAGCAGCTGTGGTCGTTCTGATAGTTTTGTCTTTACTAGGGACACTGAGGTTTAAAGGCTTCCAGAGATAACGAGAATAAACCAGGAATACAACGGGGAGTTCTACCAGAAGGTGCACTCGTAACAGCCTGCAAGTTGTTCCTCTCCTCAACCTCACAGCTTGCCTCTAAGTGAAAAGTCTGTTTCATTAAATTTGAATTTTTGGACTCTGCTCGTGGGTAATTCTTAGCAAATGCTAGCTACATCTAGGAAAATAAGGCTTCTGCTGTTGCCAGTCTAATGCTGTTTCTAGCTAGGATATCAGAACCCAAACTGTGGGGAACATCAGGATCGTTTGCTCCAAAACCACAGAGCTGATTCTCTTCTACAAATCAAGAATACCTAAATTGCTTTGACCACATGCAATTAAACTTGTGCAATAGAATCAGTGGATTACAGCAGCCCTGTAGTTGCAAAATAGGGTGAGTGATTTGGGCACATACATCAGCTGTGAAGAAACCCCAGAGGGTTTGGTATGACACTGGTCTCAGTAGAATCAATCTGTGGGCTCCAGAATCATATCTAGTGATCTGTAGTGCTATGAAACACAAAAAACCCCTATATTGCAAAAGCTGTGGGTTAAGTTCCATGGTGCCTGCATCCTGAAAAAGCATTAAACAAGTAATCAGCTAAGCTCACAGGACCCAGTGTTAGCAGGTTAGGATATAGGAAACCAAGGCAAAGTGCAGCAGAGATGTTTGTGAAAACAGCATTAGATACGGATCTGCAAACGGGCTTGGCATCACCTGATGTACAAGCATGGCTAAAATACTGCAGATGAGTCACATGCCAGGCTCTCAAGTGACCACAGCCAGGTAGGAAAAGCATCTATAGTAGTACAAAAACAAGGTGCAAGGTGTAACACAGCAGTAGAGATGACTAGAAGAGTTTAGCAGTTGTTGCTTAGCAAGTGAAAATAATACTTTCAGAGCCTGTTAGTCAAAGCTGGGTTTTCAATATTTGAGCTGAAAGGACCCAAATTTGCTATAAACAAAGATTAATACTGAAACCTGAAAAGTTGAGATGGGGCATAGTGAAAAGATGGGAAACACAGAAAAAGTTTGGGAAAAAAAGATGAAAAAGTAAATGAGCAGAGTTTTACACCATACAATAAGATACGGAAATATTTGCAAAAGGTAAGTCTACCCTGACCACAACTCCTCATCATTATTACCAATAGGACTAATTCACCTAAATATAATTAAGCATTTCTTGCAGGGTTTAGTGGTTTTTTTTAACTGGCTGGTTTGCTCTGGCACAAATGAAAAGTGGGGGATGGCATGAAACTTAAGAATACTTTAATTTGCTGTTGTCACCAAGTTCTTTATGCAATGAAATCTTGCCTTCAGTTTTCCAGTGAAAAGCTAATTTCTCCTGAAGGAAAAACCATTCTAGTGGGTAGTACCTCTGGGTTCTTTCTGCTTCTAATGTGTTCTTCAAGCCTATAAAGTGTGCAATACTTCCCTATTTATCTTTCCTACTGTTATCACTCTGATTTTGCACCTTTTCCTCATGTAAACAACCTAGTATTCCACAGACTTCTGCTGCAACCAGCTTTTTGGATGGGTTTGTAACAGGGTCAATTAAAAGAGACCTGAAACAAATTGTTTGGTGCTGGAAAAAAAAACAAACCAGTGTTTAGTGGGTTTATTTTCAAAGGATATCACCTGTCTTGTCTTGCTGGTGAAGGGGTGTGTGTGTGTGTGTGTGTGTGTGTGAGTTAGTGGATGGTGCTGATGAGAAAAAGGAGATGGCAACAGACTTGTATGGAATTTTGACTGCTTTACTCTTCTCTATAATCCTGGAGGGATGTGAATGACCTGGTCTGTTCCCATGCTGTTTGACTTGTCAGCTTTTAATTCAAGTGTTTCAATCTGTAGGACTTGGATGAGGTTAACAATACTACATAAAACTTGAGCAGAAGCCAGTTGCAAGTGCTTAGAACAGTGTTGAGGGAGGTATAAGATATGTCCCTTCCCAAAGGAAACCTTCCTGACTTCCCACAGTCGTTAGAGTTTTTAATAATGCTACATCTTGCCTACCACCATGCTGTAGGAGTACATCAGTCTTCACTGAAGCTTGTATTTATGTATATACAGACACTCTGCATCCGGCCTTGCTTCACACACACACACACTCACACTAGAGTGACAGGAGGTGGGTATACAATACCTACACATCAGACTGGTACCTTTCAGACTTGAGCTGCAATATGTATAAGGTTTACAGCTTCTATCAGGATTTTTGCATTTACAAGTCAGGATTTCTAAATTTCCATTCCAACAATTGCCTATCTTCATCTCTCCCCAGCCCATCTCAACAATCATACAATGTATGTCATGCATGTGAACGAGCTAATACCTTGTTTTTCTTGCAGGAGTGCAGGCTGTGTATTTGTTGAAATGATCCAGGGCCAGCCAGTATTTGCAGGAACTTCTGGTACTCATGGACTGAAGATCTGGAAGGTGAGTAAAATATACCCTGAAATGGGAGAGAAAAAGAGTCTGCTGCTCCAGCTCCCTACTTAATTTTTAAGTCCTAAAATAGGTCCCGTGAATATCAGAAATAATTTGGTCCAATCTGCCAAGTTCATAGCAGACTTTGTAACCCATTTTCTATGTGGCAAGTTTCTCACAGACACAGAAGTATATCAAATGACTTTCCTTTGATGTTTGTCATCTCATCAAAAATTTAAAGCCAATTAAAGTGACATCAAATTGAAGAAGGCATAAAAGGTGTGCAGGTACTGCAGATTCTATTCCTTCTTGTTAAATCCATTACTTACTGTAGGATACAGAACACCATATTCTCACAAAAGAGCACTAATACTGCTCTTAAACTACCTTGAAAATGGCAAAACCCTGAGGTTTTTCAGAAATCCTTAACTTGGAACATTTTGTATCATCCAGTTTATGGTGCAGCCCTAGAGACTGCTTTGGCATAATGGAAAGTGTGAAATTACTTTATAAAGGCAGCAGTGAGTGAGAGCAGACAGATTCAGGAGCCTCTTAAGCCCTTTTTTTCTGCTGGGGAAACTGAAACACAGAGCCATGTCCTTAGTGCAGTTTGGTAGAATTGAGGCAGTTATAAGCACTAGTGGATTCTGTATGTTCCTTCATTGCTGACCCTGTTACTGACTTAACAGGAAGTTCAGCCTATACATTCCTCTTGGATTTTGCTGTAGGTGTCTGCCCTTTCACATGTCCTCCTAAGGAGTTATTTTTCTGCACAGAGTGTTTCCCAAACATGGGTTTTCAAAGAGAACAGAAAACTGTGAGAAAGGACTTTATAGCCTCAAGTCTGTGTAAGTCAGACTTTTTCTTCTTAATCCCTTCACCCAGAAACACTCCTGCCTGGTTTTCCTCTCTGCTTTCAGCTAGAATGTGATAAAAAGTCAGACAGGTGGGACCAGTTTTTAGTCTTGAGTTCAGTCCATTTAAATAAATGCTGAATTTCTCTTTTGTAGAGAAAAAAACCCAGAATTACTGGGGGGGGAATCTGTATGTGGCCAATTAATAGAGTTCAAAGCCAGGGCAGAGTTGAATTTCCCAGAGTGTGAATGAAGGATATCCTTCCACTTACAGCTCTGAAATCTCTGGATACATTTCCTGTGGTTTTGCAGTTGGAAGGTTAGAGCCCTATCGTCATTTCTCCGGTATTATAACTAATACCGTGATTAATAGGATTGGTGCTATAGAAGGCAAAAAAAACAAACTTATTTAAAAATCATGAGGAAGCTTTAAGAGCCATGAAATAATTAGTGCCTTTCACAGGAGGTTTTCTGTTATTATACAGCCTGGAATGAAGCTCTGTGTTAGGCCAAGATTTCAAAGCTCCTTAGAGGCTTTCGATGGCTAACTTGAGATATTTTGCCGAGTCTGAGGTTCAGAATGGGGATTCCTACTGTTTTCTAGTAGTCAGTTCCTTTCATGTACTAATAATGGAGGCACCCTGCACTGATTTAGACTGTCTGGATTTGTGTGCACGAGTCTGTATCACCCAGCATGCTTATCCCCACGTAGGACTGGTGGTTCAGACACTGTGTAGGTATATGGCTGGCAAATCCTCATTCTATGAGTTGTGTTTGTTCAGTTGAATCATCAGGACTGACTAACTGCAATTTCACCAATATTTCTTCCAGAAGCAAGTGCCAGCTTAAGCAGTCTTCATCCCCCCTCTGTGTCCATGGCTGCTCATTCCTGCTCCTGTGTCACCACTCACATGTGGGGCTACATGAACCGGGGAACCTGTAACTTGGTTTTCCCGCTGGGTTACTCTAAACAAGAACAATTTCTTTTTACAGTTCATTTATCTGGCTGCCTAAGCAGTAGTACTCCTGAAGGGATGACACAGGAGCAGAGGTAAATGGGAAGGGGACAAAGAGGAAGGAGCTGGCAGTGCTAGTTATGGAAGTGCTAGTTATGGAAGTATGGCCTGAGGGGATACGAACTGCAGTGTCTCCAGTTCTGCCATGGGATGGAGAGTAAACAAACCTGACAAACTTAAGATCCATCATTCACATTTCAAGAGATCAGGCATAGGTTTTGCATTCCAAACCTCCATCTTATTGATTAGCATTGTGCTGAGGACCTCATGTGGGCTGGATTAGGCTGCGGCATACCAGCAGCATGCTTCTGCGGCTCAACCAAACATGTGACAAGTGACAAATGAATGGCTACAAGGCTTCTCTATGTAAAACATAAAATATAACTTCCCAACAAAACTGAGCAAAATCAGGCAGGTTGATTTCTTTAGGTGGTTCATCACAAGAGAAACAAGCAGTTAAGAGGGTAAAGAGAGGACAATGATTTACACCAATTTAAAGTGCTTGCTGAAATACAGGCATTGTAAATACAGCCCTGGCTGCAACTATGCCCCTTCCAAAGTGGACTGAACTGAGCTGCACCAAGACCGTTCACTCTAGTAAAAAGTGCATGCATGCAGGAGCATGGCAGACCAGCAAGTACAGAGGAACTGTTTTGCTTAGTGTAATGGCATGGACCAGAGAGTTAACAGCTAGATTTAGGGCAGATACACACCAGATAAACCCATCCCCAGAGTATAATTAATTTCAATTAGATAAATATAACTCATAGTCTGATTTGGCAAGGATTCTTATTAAAGGTCTAGGGGGAAAAGAGAAAAGGAAAAAACAAATCACCTGCCCCATTATCTTGGAAATTAAAAAAACAGATTCAAATTCATGGGTTGGAATAGCATCTTTTGTAAAGAAATGACTTGGAAAATATAAATACATATTCATATAGCACTCAGTGATTGGTGCTCTGAATAGTTTCATACCTCAACTTAGCAAAATGTAAGCGTTTGTTGAAAACTTTACACATAAAGTACAAGATGCATGAATAACTGTTTTCTTAAATTCTTCACTAAGAGAGAGAGGCAGAGTGCTGACCTGATGCTGGAGAGTATGGTTTTACTATGTCATGAACTTCCTCAGCTCCCTCTGATGCCTTTGAACTGATGCCTGACGGCTCACAAGAAACCGGAAGAACAAGGGCCCAGATGTATGCAGAGGTGGAACTTCAGAACACACACCTGGATTTTCAATGCAGAATATTTTAGAGGTTTTGCTGTGGCTTCTCAGAAAGATACCAGGATAGCAAAAGAGAGCAAATCCTGGAGTCGGGATCAAATTCTAACTCTCTCTTTCCTGTGCATGCTCAAGAGTTTACTTTGTGCAGAACTGCCCTACTTGCATGGTGCACACACCAGTCAAGAATGCAGCCTTATCCAGACCTGTCAAATTACCCCCAGTGCATGCCACCTTCCAATATCCTCACATGGCTGAGCCCCAAAGACCACCATGCTAATCTGTGCCAGCTGTAACACAAAGTCCCTGCTTGTGGCTATCTTCTCCAGGTAGCTGTAATTGTCCTCACAGCTGTTTCCCAGCTGTGAGAAAAGCAATCAGCTACCAGATGCATAACAACTGCAACAACCAGGCTTTGTATTTCTTCCTTCTTTAATGATGCCTGTTTTCTTGCAATCTTATCACAAGTTTCTGTGAGGCCAATATCATATATCTCAGCTTTCATTTTAAGGAAAAGGAGCTGTCTATCATATGCAAAGTATAACTAATGTGAGACAAATCTAATGTTGGAGAAGAGAAGCCAAATAAAAACCCTTGACATTTTTCATGTTACAATTTCACTGTTTTTTAAGGAAATCTGATAATATTGTGGGTTGTCTGAATGATAAGCTTTGAATAGTTGGAGTGAGCAGAACCGATTTATAATACCATATCACATGCTGTGAACTCTTCTGAAATATGTAGCTTTACCACCTTAGCACAACTCATCCATATCAGTAGGCACAACACACTTTGCATGTGGTAAATAATAACACTAAATATCCACAACCGCAGCCATCACAGAAATCCAGATATGCTTGATCTCACACATTCCAGCAACTAAAATAAGGTTGAAGGAGGCTTTATTGGCCCAGACTTTGCTCCATGAGGACCTACTTCTGAAGACCACAATTCACAGTAAAGGCCAAAGACACTGCAGAAGCTCTGGACACTTCAGGATGAGACATGACTGCCTTGTACTACCTGCTGTAGACCTGCATGCCACCTCTTTTTTCACCTCAGAATGGCAGGGTTTTCCATCAGCTCACAGCACGTGCTGCTGCTGAGCATATTGGCTGCTGCCAGTGCAAGCAGGCAGAACAAGTCCTCAGTGCAGGTCTGGTGCAGGAGGACAGCTTCAGCAGTGACCTATGGGTTGGCAAACACATGCAGGAGTAATCTGGCAGTGAAGATGTGTACATCTTCACTGGTGTTTACAGCAGCAATAACGTTCCATCTCAGCAGGACCTTTTCTGCTATAAAATCAAGTGCTAAAATGTCCATGTCCTTTATGTGCAGGGCGTGTGAAAGCGTGCCTGATTTACAGAAAAGGAGAGTCTCTCTTCATTGAAACTGATTTCTCCAGCTCCACACAAAAGCAGAGTATTGGCAAATAGAGGTTATTGCTCTTCTCACTCTCTTTCTCCTTTTGCATAGATATTGGGGGTCCCAACTGAGGACACCTGGCCAGGACTTTCCAAGGTCCCCAGCTATAACCCAGGTAGGATTTAACTCACAAGAATGCCAACTTTATCTCTGAGCCACTCACTAGCCACTCAAATCCTGCGCTTCAGTGTTACTAAATCCCTTGAGCTGATTTATGATAGTGGTGTTGTAGGACCCACAACAATATTGGGGTTGGCCTAGTATGCAAGCAAAGGTACATGTGTGGCAGTTGCTTAACTGAGCACTGGGTGTATCTTAGGCTGATGGAAGATTTCATTGCTGCAAGTGCTGACAATGTTGATATTCTCTACTCCTCAGTGCAAAGGACCACTGTCTCCTGGTGCAGATTGAGAAAACTAACAGGTACCAGGAGACACAGTTTATCTGAACTCTCCTTATTTTTATGTAGATTGGTTTGGGGGCCTTTAAACCTCGCTTTTAAAGGTCACTGTCCCAGATTTTGATGTGGGCAAGGTAAGAAATCTTTGTGATTTATAAAGCTGGCTTCTTTTATTTCCACATGGGCTGGTAGAGAAGTCTGTGTCCTGGACTTCAAAGGGCCAGTTGTCTCTTATTTTGATGTGGGCAGGTTGAGAAGTATGCTTTGAAAAGCCATCTCTCTCTCTCTCTTTCTCTCCCCTCTCCCTCTCTCTCTCCCTTTCTCTCTTTCTCTTTTTGTTTAATGTTTTCTCTTGGGAAAATATATTCAAGTGTCAGTGAGGGGGAAATGATGAGCACTGATTCTCAGTCTCTCAGCAGGATCATTCTGGAAGAGAAATATAAAAGTGAAATATTAAAAACCCTAGAATGTAAAATCTACCCATCTACAATCTAGCCATTCTCTCTCACTCCTAACCTAAGAGAGTGGTGGGGGGAGCCTGTCTATCTGGACGGGAGGGGGGGGGAAAGAGGAGGGGGAGAGGAGGAGGGAGAAGATGTGCTTTGAGCAAGAGGTTTACAGGTTTAGTAGAGCATAGTAACATCCTTTCAAAGAAGTGGGTGTTGCTCTGTGACCCAGTCGAAGATGCCCCTCCTTTGATTCTGGTGCATGAACACTAAACAGCCCCCATTTTCACATGGTAGCCATGATTGGCTGAACAATAACCTGGTCTCCTTCACACAATTAGCTGAGACACATTAATCAAACCAGCGTGAAATGGGAATGTGTCGCTGTCCACAGCAAGTTTAATTTGGATAGGGAGCAAGCACAGAGCAGACAGCTGGAGGAAGCACTTTCTCCTCTAAGTTGTTGAAGGCTTGGCTGAGTATAGTCTACAAGTTGGGAAGGGCAGTCTGGAAGGGAAGAATTGCTCACGTGTGGGACAAAATGATCACAAAGAATTTTTTCTATGCCAGTCATCTGCTCATACTAGGCTAAAAACTCAGTGATGATGATTAGGTATCCCAGTGCTATATAGAGGGACAGCCTGAAAGTGAAAGCATTAAGGCTACATAAGCAAAGAAACTAATACAGAGAATGTGTAAGTGCCCAGAACTGCCCTGAATAATGACTCCTGCTTAGCTCTATTTTGTCTGAATAGCAGTGCTGGCTGCTGCTGTGGAGGGTGCCCATGGAAGAACTGTGAGGGAGAGGACAGGCACATAGGCAGCATGGAAACAGCTCCAGTAAAGACAAGTCTAGTCATCTTAAGCATTTTTCAAATGAGTTAGAATCATAGAATAGTTAGGGCTGGAAGGGACCTTAAGGTCATCAAGTTCCAATCCCCTGCCATGGACAGGGACACCTCACACTAAACCATGTTACCCAAGGCTCTGTCCAAACTGGCCTTGAACACTGCCAGGGATGGAGCATTTACAGCCTCCCTGGGCAAACCATTCCAGTGCCTCACCACCCCCACAGTAAAGAATTTCTTCCTTATATCCAATCTAAACTTCCCCTGTTTAAGTTTTAACCCATTACCCCTTGTCCTATCACTACAGTCCCTAATGAAGAGTCCCTACCCAGCATCCCTATAGGCCCCCTTCAGATACTGGAAGGATGCTATGAGGTCTCCACACAGCCTTCTCTTCTCCAGGCTGAACAGCCCCAACTTTCTCAGCCTGTCTTCATATGGGAGCTGCTCCAGTCCCCTGATCATCCTCGTGGCTCTCCTCTGGACTTGTTCCAACAGTTCCATGTCCTTTTTATGTTGAGGACACCAGAACTGCACACAATACTCCAAGTGAGGTCTCACGAGAGCAGAGTAAAGGGGCAGGATCACCTCCTTCGACCTGCTGGTCACACTCCTTTTGATGCAGCCCAGGATACGGTTGGCTTTCTGGGCTGCAAGCTCACACTGAAGCCGGCTCATGTTCATTTTCTCACCGACCAGCACCCCCAAGTCCTTCTCCGCAGGGCTGCTCTGAATCTCTTCTCTGCCCAATCTGTAGCTGTGCCTGGGATTGCTCTGACCCAGGTGTAGGACCTTGCACTTGGCATGGCTTTCAGGATTGATAGAATATTTCCCTAATGGACTCCAGTGGGGCAGAACTGACCTGTGCTGTTCTGTAAACCTGTGATGCTGGTGCCTTTCTGTGGCTGGATCAGACAGAAATGCAGGAGTCGGATGACGCCTTCCTGTAGGAACTTCCCACCATGCTAGCAAACACACGGGGAGGGATGCTGCACCAGTGTTTTGGGCAGTAGGTGTTCCAGCTGGAGAGGCAACATCCTTTTCCCCTCCTCAGAGCCTGCCTAAGGGGCACCAAGCTGCTGCAGCCACATACTGGAACCAAGCACTTGGCTCACACCTGGATTATACAAACCAGCCTGGACAGAAGAAGGTTAGTCATAGAAGGCTGGTCTAGTCGTGAACAAAATCAAGTCGGTTTTTGATGGGGCTGTTGGTAAGAAGGCAAATAAGTCTCTTTGTTTAAAGTTATTTGGCTTTCACATGCTCCTGTGCACTTCCCCTCTCCTCCCTGAAGCACAAGTACTGTTTCCCGCTCCAGGACACGCTCAGCCCTTGTGAAAGCTGTGGAGTCTGCCTGAGAAAACCTCTCTCGAGATTGTTTCCATCCCAGCTGTGGGAATCTGTGTGCCTGGGACGGTTCAGATAAGCAAACAAAGTTTGGAGCCTTCCCCAATCTGATGGCTTGAATGCTTTCAGCTAGTCCTATTGATGTTCGCTGTGAGTGCAGGCAGCAAACAAACAAACAGGTTCCCGCCCGCGGCAAGGAATGAACATGGGCAAAACAAAGCACCGAGGTGTGATCCCATTCTCATTGAAGTTGATGGCAAAACTCCCACTGGATTCAGCACTGTAGGCTCAGCCCCAGACTGAGGTTGTTACTGGAAGGGTTCCTGGACCAGGTGGGTTAGTAGGAATCTTTGAAATGAAAGATGGAAACCTTTAGATGTTCTCCTGTCACTCCTGTGGGCTTGAGTACATCCTGCTGCAGAGTCTGAAGAGGAGATACAGCATGGGCTGTGGGCTCTGTGAGCCAGGCACACACCAGGCAACTGGAGGAAGAGCAGTTCCCCTGCCCCTTCTGTGGGCAACTGGCAAAGGGTGAAATGTGCAAGGGAGTATTTGACCACCCTATGTCCCTGTGTCTTCTTGCACAAGAGAGTTTAGAAATGTGGCTCATGCCCATTGCCTACAGTTTGACAAAGTCTCAACCTACGCCTGCCCCCATGCAAACAGGAAGGATGGGTGAGCAACTCTTCCATGGCCAGCCCAACAGTTTGTGATCTTGCTTCCTCCCTGCAGGAGAGACACTTGGGGTAGGGAATTACATGCAGCCGTGGGGCCTGAAAGCATGGATTTACCTCAGTCCTGTCTTGAGAACCAGTTCCTGCAAAACATGAAGGGTTGGGAGACCTCCTGCCCCATGCATCAGCATACTTGCTGGCCCTCCTCCTGCCTCCCCAGGCTCAGCCCATAGCGACAAGGCTTTGCCCTGTGTTTGTTCATTTGTTCTGTTCCCCTCATTTTGCTTCCCCTGAAAGAGGCAGTTGTAGCTCTGTTAACACTATTTTTGAAAGCTCTCATGCTGTGTGAGCTCAAATCCTTGCATTAATCTACTGCTGTGTTCATTTCACTGCACTGAAAAGCAGTGAGTTTAAATCCCCTCTAAACACCATTGGTGACACCAGAAGGCCAGTGTTTTGATCCAGCCCCATTAATGGTTACAAGTTTGAATCTAGACAGCAGGGGTCAAGGGCAGGAAAGGATTAGGAATCACAGCCCATGACATTAAGCTAGTGCTTTTGCCAAACTGGGAATATTGGAGCACCCAATGTACCAAGTTAGTTTTTGTTTCCTTTTTCTGAGATTTGGATTCCACAGGGTGGGAAACACTGTGTATTTCTTTATAACATGATGGACTCACTATAAGTGAGCTTTACTCCTTGATTTATCACACGGGCTGACTAATAAGTTCACTATGCCACATAGTATCATATCACTTAGCAGCCACAGGTTTTACACTGGCTTTTTTCAAATGCAGCAATGACTTAAATCAAGCCTGGTGTTTCTTTTTCTCATATCTGCAGGCTTTGCTATGCTGAATGAGATTTAGAAGCTTTCCAGCATCAAGATCTGCTCCCAAGTAGTATCTGTTGCGTTTCCAAAATGTCACCAGCAGATGGAGGCAACGAGCAGCAGGCTGTGAAAAGCAAACTTCAAATGACATTTTTGAGAATGCAGATGAGGTCTGCACTCGGAGTGCTCTTTTTTTATCTCACTTTTTATGCTGATGCTTCATTTAACAAATGGGATGGTTGGAAACTGAATTCTAAACCGATGAAATTTTTATTGTCATAATAAACTGCAGGTGGCTTTGATCCTAAAGGGAAGAACAGCACTGTAACCAAGGTGTAATGTATGTGCTGGCTAGACTGTAGGGAAACTTCCTATCTGTCTGGCAGTGGGCACAGGCTGCAGTTTCCAGCCTGCCACACAGACAGAGCTCTTCTTCTGTCCTGCAGCCACAGAGATTTCACTAATGAGAGAAATTTTCTCTGTGAGCCTGCAACCCCAGCGCCTTCATCCAGCAGCACTTGGCATCCTCTTTCTCTCTCTTCATCAATTAGGGAAGTTTAACTTTTGTCCTCTGGCTTGCTTGCCTCATTATCAGTTCATTAGCCACTTCCACCTGGGTTTTCATATAGGAAGGTATTTCCTTATTAGCACACACTGCCTTGCATAGAGAGTAACAAACCCAAGTGCTACCTTTCAGATCTACACTTACTGTTAAAAAAGCCAATCAGCCCTATACAATCCCATCATTTTATGTCTATATCATCACTATGAGACAAATAATTCAGTAGTTCATCCACTTTTTGGAATTATATCTAAATATTCTTCATCTCTTTTCTTTAAGGAGTAGCTGTTTACATTGGTTTACAATTTAGGTTGGTCTTAATCTTACAGTAGGGAAATATTTACTGCTCTGTTCTTAACCCTGTTCAACACAAAGGGGCCTCAGCGTTCTCTAAGGGCTTGTCTATATGGGGTCAGTCAGGAGATTAATCTGAACTGATTTAAAGTGGATTAGTTAACTACATTAAATCCTTGAGCACAGACATACTGTTTTCTTACCCATGTCTTCCATTTATAATCAAAGCTCTGTCTACTCAAAGTGGCAAGTCTGGCAGTCTTCACTCAAGCAGAATTCTCCACTGAGAGATGTGTTTGGACAGGGATAGCAGTAGTTGGCTCGCTGGCTCTTATGCTACCCCTTGTAGATAATTATTAATCTCCTTGTTATATAAATGATAAATTAAGTCAAGAGGCTTGCTCGAGACAGCAAAGACTCTAATTCAGGTATTCCTCCCAGTTCCCAGTAAGCAAACTGATGTTCCTATTTGTAACGTAAAGAAAATCTTGCTTCCTCTTTGGAATGTTAATCCGGAAAATGCGCTCCACAAAACCAGTGACATTTCACTTAGATATCACTGAAACGTTTTGCCCTGCTGTTCTCAACTGAATGTGCACTTTTTAACTTTTATGTTAAACTCATTAAAGGACATTAATGTTAAAAGATTTCAGTAGAGTTGAAGTACAACCTTGACATTTTTATTAAATATTAAAGGAAATTGATATATTGTCACGGAAGGTTTCCATCTCACAAATCAGAATTTTCTGGCAGAAAGTTACAACATCTGAAAGTTTCTGGCCAGCTCTGCGAAGGGGTAAAAATTTCTGCCTCATACAAAAAACATCTTATGCTTTTCCAAACCATTTTTTAAAAAATTGTTTTTCTTCTATTCTGCCTGGAAACTTTACATCTCTACTCAATAGGGACGATTTATTTCTATACTTTTATTACAGTCAAGGGGGCAAAATGAAGGAAAGAGGATCCAGAGAAAATGTTATTAGTGGTCCAAGATGAATGTTCTGCCAGAGTTAATCCTCGTGACTGATTTGGGAAGGGGCTATTCAAGATACTAATATATAACTTCTAGCTATTGCAATAATTTCAGTGCTCTGGCACCTAAACTGTCATGAATCCCATCCCAGGTTATATTGCCATTTACTGCTTAGCAATTACCTTAGTATTTGGGTGTTGGAGAACACTTCAATTGTGAACTGTTACTTACCCTGTGATAGACAGGTTTAACAACCTACTTGCCTGGCTTAATGGTGAAAGATTGCTGCTGGAAAGGTTAAGTGCTGGAAGTTCAGTCATTTGCACTTTAACAAACTGTGCATCAAGTCAGACACTGACTGACTGAGCCCCTGGGCCTGGCACTCTGGAAATGGCCATGCAGGTGAAGGCAGAGGGTACCCCTGCTTTGCCCACAGCCAGCAACTTCTGTCCCTGAATGATGTGGGGGATGCTTCTGGGCAGGAAAGGAGGACAGATGCTCTCCGATGGTGCAGCATAAGCCTCAGCCAAGCACCAAATCTACTGGCAACAGACCAGTGTCGCTTGCCTTCTGGTGGTCTTGCTGCCATGGGGAATGTTTGTCTGGGCTGGGCTTGAAGAGAGGTTGACACCACCCTTCCTGCTTGAGCACTGTCAGAAATGGTACTCAGGAAAACGTTGCTGGTAGAAATTACAGCCTTTCTGATGCAAGAAAATGTCTTTGTTCATCTCTAAGGGAAATCTTCCAGGCTTAAGCCATTCATTGATATCTAAGCCTGAGAATGCCCATGCTTTATAAGAAAACATTTGAAGAATGTATTTGTCTACATTTTCCACAATGTTTAGAAATGTGTCCTTGAAAACTGGCAACAACAACACAGCCTTCCCAAAACTGCAAACCCCGCAACGTTCCAATCTGGTAGAGATGTTTGAATCAGTAAGCACAAAGCCTGTATGGAAAAGGTTAATTTGATAATAAACAATAAACTTAGTGAGGGGTTGACAGCAAGAGCAGTGGACAACAGAGTGGGACCCAAGTGTCTTTGCTCTGGCTCCACTCTTTTTGCCAGATCAATGCATAAAAGCCGTATGTGTGCACAGGGCAATACATGAAGCAAGCAAGCCAAGACAGTTGCTGGGGATTCAGGCCTGCAAACCTCTTTCTGCTTCCTTCATGTAAAGGCTTTAGGGACTGATACTGCTTTTATTGAAGCCAAATCTAAGACTCACACAGCAACAGAAGGGGGCCCAAGGCCTATATTCACAGATGTATGAAAAGAAAGGGTTACAGAACTGGAACAGCCTTATTAACATCAGTGCTGGTACTCAAGTCCTATAGGAATAATGTATATTTATAAATACTAAGATGACAGATTCTATAGGTCCCTTTGAAATTCTGAGCACACGTTCTTCGAAAAGGCTAAAAGAATGGTTTGTGGCTTGATTTTCATTTAATCCTGTGATTGCATATTACACTTTCAAGAAGTGGCTGCTTCCAGGAGACCTCAGAGGCTCCAAGTCATCTGTGACAGGTAAGCTACCTATAATGGCAATGTCAAAATCACCTCTGGGTTTATTTGTTTCTTTATGCAATCATTTAACTTGAAACGAGCTCTTTTGGCAAGCTCAGGAAGAGCTGGGTGGCTCTGTAGTAACAAGCAGATCTAACATCAGTTAAGCACCTGATTTTGAGAGATTGTGGTGCAGGTGGGCACATAGTGGGTTTATTATGCTTTGAGGAGTAGTGATTATTCTCAGATAAGCAGTGATTCAATGACATTACGAGCAGCTTTTCTCAGGACACAATTGAGTCCAGAGCGTCATACTTTCACAGGCCTTCTTAACCGGACTGAAGAGAGACTTTGCTCTGTCCCGGTTTTCATTTCTGGAAACAGATTGTAGGGATGTTGCTCAACAGCGGTAAGGAAGATGTGCTAGGATGGCATTTTCACAAGACAATGAAATAATCTTATGATTAGTTAGGAGGGGAAAAAATCACTCCTCAGAGGACAAAAGCTATGAGGCTGTGGCCATGGTTACATACCTTGGCTTGACCACGCACACCAACACCACCCAATCACTCCCTAGTGTGCTAGAAGAGGGAGTATTTTTAAGCTTATATATGTGCACATACGTGCATGAATACATAATGCACACACACACATATACATAATGTATTTACGTATCAGTGAAACAAATATCTGATCAGTCAAAGCGCCCTATCCTAGCTCAGTGAGTCAGTAAAATCAAACCCCCTCCCAGTGCTAATTTAGAGGCATACAACAGCCTTTATAGATGCATAGGAAAAGATTAGACAGAGCTGTGTTCTCAGGATTGTGTTCATGCACAGGTCAAGAATCAAAAATTCTTTGAGGATGTAACCACATTTTTCGTCACTGTTGTTTATTATCTGTTCAGCTCATTGCTTGGGATGCAGCCCTGCTTGGAGGGAAGTGTGCTGGCCTGCAGAGCTGGGTTTCCCAGACACTGTTCTGAATGGCTGAAGAAACATGCTGCAGTTTTCAGCAAAGCACAGGCTGCTGAAATGCCTGCCATTGTCACACACATCTTCAGAAACACACCTTGATAACACAGGTCCTGGAACAGAACGAATCCTCTCTCAGCCTGAACAAAGAAATACTATATTCCTTGCAAGTCTGCTGTGTTACAGTTCTGGATTTTGGCCATAATCCCCTGACAGGCCCCATTACAGCCCCATACCGACACTCTCCTCTGCAGCAGAGCTCTGGGCTGCATGTGGGCCAGCTCCAACTCTGCGTTACAGAGTCCTTACACCGCTATGACCGAATGGCTGCCTTGGCATGCTCAGCTCTTGAGAAGGAAAGAACTGCTTCATACAGACCAATCAGCCATGACTCTCCATGGCCAATTAAGAAATCAAAAGGGAGCTCTGCGCAGAGCTCAGCCACCACAAAGAAGCCTTGAGCCATGGTGGGAAGCACTGACCTATGTTGCTGCCCAGCGTGGGAGCCTGAAGCAACAGGACAGAAGGGGCAGAGGGTCTCCAGTAGCAGCCTACAGCAATGTACATCCAGTGATGCGCAGCTCTAGCAAGCAGCCTCTGGCTGGATGCTTTGGCTCCCTGTCCAGTTCCTGCTCCCCAAGGCAGCAGGGGCTTGAACTGTTTTGCTGGAGGCAAGAATTCAGCAGTTACATACCACAGTGAGGCCAGGTAGCTTTTATAAATCTGTTTCTCAGGATCTCTCCGTGCTTTTTCCTTTCCTTTTGTTTTGCATTTTATCTCCTCAAAACAGAAATGTCAGCATGTCAAATGTCCTGTGTAGGGAGGGGGAGTGCAGGGGCAAGGGGAGCCCGGTGCCTGATGTCGCTTGGAGGGGAAGCACCAGTGGGGGCCAAGGGAGGAAGCACAACAGGCCATGCTCTGATGGGCCTCCTGATGCTGAAACATGATCAGAACAAACAAGCAAAGTAGGAGCTGTAAAACTAAATGACTATTTTTATTTGTTTCCTTGTTGGTTTGTTTTCTCTCTTCCACTTCCTTGTCCCCAGCTGTGTGCTCCTCTAGAAAGCAGCCACTTGGCACTGGTATTGCTGGGCACGGAGCGTGTGTGTATTACATCTATTTTAAGCACTCATCCTGAGAAACAGATTCATCTCCATGAATCAACGTATTCTAAAGCCAGCTGCACGGCTGGTACTAGGGAAGAAAGAGGGGAAATGGCATTTTCTTTACTTTTTTCTTGGTTTTGACCTCTGGTCTGCTCACTGGTCCAGTCAGGTTGTTTTGTGCACTTGCACTGTTGCTCTAAACTGGTAACACCAACCTCGGATATTCCAGTTATGACACATAAAATATAATCTGTTCAGCAGCATTTTCCCTTTTCCTTACAACTTTCTTTTCACAAAATAACCATTTATTTTCAAAATTCCTCTGAAAGCATGAGTATGTGCTGAAATCCTGTATCCATATACTCCAATATAACCAAACTCGCACAGAAAAGCAAATGTCCTGGGAAACTATAAAGCTGGGGTCAGTTTATCCTGCTCCCCTATGTCACTCCACTATCTGTCTCAGGATCTGAGAAGGGCTGGGTCAAATTCTAGTTCCAGCTTTCTGGCTTATGCTCACCTCCTATCCTAATTTTTTTTGTCCTGTTTTCCTAGGCTGAGCAAGGTGCCATCAGTGGAGGATTTGGCCTCCAGGATGCTTAAAGCCTTCCCCTGAGGCTGGATCTCTGCACAAGATGCAGTTGTTCATGGTTTCTTCAGCTCTCTGCCTCCTCAGCTCTATGAGGTTCCTGCTGGTAAGTTAACTCAGTTCCATCTCACTAAGAGCTACTTCACATGCTATTTATTGTGAGTTTCTTGTTATTTTGAAAGTCTCTGACATTCACCTGGGCATCTGCCTGCCCTCCCTCCCCACTCCTGTATGCTGCAAAGTTTACATCCCATTGCAAATTTGTCAGCTTCTTTTTCTGTTTTCTTCCACTTGACCACTGTGTTAATACTAGAAGGGGACATGGTTGGGCTGCCACAGTGGTACATTAGAAAGTGGAGGTGTGTATGGTTTCACAGCTCATTTCTCCCCCATTCTGTAACCCTAGGGGCCCAGAGCTTTCCCTTGGGCTCGATCACACTGTGTATTCAGTGTAACTCACATGCTAGTCCCTCCTGATGTCCTGAATTCCCAGCTGTTCGGCATGATGTGCTAGCCCCAATTCCCTTGGACCGCTGCTCCTGCTCCCTTTTGATGTTCAGAGACAACAGCTGTTCCTCATACCCTGTCGCACCAGTCCTCCCTCAGTTTTACCTGCTTTATTTTCTTCTTCCCTTGCTGTCTTTTAAGCACACAGCTACATACACGCAGGTCTGCCTCTTCTGCCCTGAGCTGATAATAAATAAAGGGTCTCTCAAGCTACAGGTTCTGGTCCTCACTAGACAAAGCTCCCTCTTACTGGGCACCAGTCCAGAGAGCACTCGCATTCCCTGCTGCCTCCTGGGCACCCACTACACTAGTTAGTTTGGTGTGTTTTTCTTAAGACAGGAGCAATTAAGAAGCCTTCTTGGAGTGTGTTGTCAAGCTATTTGAAAACCTAATTTCTGACTCCTGTGACACATCCCAAGTGAAGGAGCAGCAAGCTAGCACCTCTCCCAAACTGCTGCCCTTCAGAAGGTGCTGTGTGTGTGTATGTGCACGAGTGAGAGACATCTGCATTCCTTTTCTGTTCACCCAGCCACAGAGCACAAATCTACTTTGACACTTTTAGAAAAATGAAAAGATGGAATCTCGCAGGAGCCTGCCTGTGCCGCGGGGGGAGGAGGGGAGCACGCACAGCAGGAGGGAAGTTGACTTTTCTTTATACATATAGGGTTTTTTCCATGCAGAGTTTAAATTATGCCTGATAAAAGGAGTTTCGTGGATGTTTCAGTTCTTTCAAACCCTCCTGGCTTCCTCCCAATTAAATGAGGTTTGTCAAAGCCACAGGGCTCTGCTGCTGCCGGAGAGGCGGACAAGCACTTCCCGCAGTGACATCTCCAATCCCCAAGGGAGAAGATGAAAGTGTCAGTGCCAAGAGAGAGAGAGAGTGTGTGGAAAAAAACAGGTACAGAGACAGACAGTGTGAGAGAAAGGGAGTGAGGAGAAATAGAAGGAATGAGAAAACAGATTGGCATAATGTGTCAATCTCTCCAACACGCTATCGGAGAGGGGACAGATTTATTTCACCTGGGTTTATGCACCATCCCATATTTATTATCCCTCACATTGTGGCAAGAAGTACCTTGTGGACAAGAAACTGCATGGCGTTATCATAGCAACCAATGTGTTGGGAGCAGAATCAAAGTGCACAGCGTTGAAAAAAAGTACAGTATGATCATGCAAGACCATATTCATGAGTGACTCATTAAGCCTGTAAAAATTAGGCAATTCTGAATAATTCTCCATGTAGCCATCCCTATTGCCATAATCGTGTAAGACATGGGTTCTCTTCCATCACTTTGGCATCAGCCTATTTTCAAATTACACTGTATCATTTTAAAATTCTTGTTGCTATGATAACACAGTGCAGATTTTATATATATTCTGTCCCCACTTTGTTCTGGAGGATGCTGGCTATTAGTCCCCATCCTCTGAAGGAGAAAGTTAATGCAGAAGGGCTAAGAATGAGCTGGAGATGAAAGGTAAAAGGAAGAGGGGGCTGATCCCAAGGTGTGTGAGAGAGTAAGAAGGAAACAACATTGAGAAAAATAAAAGGTTCCAGTAAGAAATTATTTTCTATTTTTAAGAAATAATTTTGTCCATAACTGTTCTTTTTATAAGTTGCTAAGACAAGCTGGATGCTAGGCAATGTTTTTCAAAGGTCTATTCCTAGGAAAAAAGTAATTGGAGAAATCAGTGTTTCAATAAGTACCCCTCCAAATGTCATGTTTCTGAATACAGAGGGGAACCCTAATGGATAGAAGCTGGGTGCTGCCCCTGGGAAGGACGAGAGGGAGCATGAGGCTCTTTGCTTCCCAGTGGTCAGCTCCTGCTGATGGGACCAGGTTGCTGTTGCTTTTGCTTAAGCTCATGTGCTTATATGTTGCTTACAGCCCATGCTGTAAGAGAGGAAGACTCTCTGTGCCCTGAGTGGGGCTGGTCTGCAGAGGGGCCTCTCTTAGAGCTGCTCACTCCTGTGCCTCTAGTGCCATAAAAGGCTGGTAAGGCCCAGGTTAAAACTCTAGTCACCATTTTGGTGTCCTTAATTCTGCACATGCCACCAGTACCTCTTGATATAGCAACAGAGGACAGGAGCGGGAGAATCTCTATCTTCCTTACACTGTGACTAGTAGCCTGAGGGGTGGCAGTGATGACCTTTTGTAAAACTGGAGCATTTGCTGCCAGCCAATCCTGAGACAATTATCTTTGTGTAGTGCAACCCTGCACTACAACAGCTCTGACAAAACTTCAGTCTAGCCCTTTGCCACCTGCTAAAGCAGAATGTTTTCCGTCCAATTAATCACTCCTGGAAGACAGACGAGATCCTTGAATCAAGAAAGCATGAGCCGTGCTCTCAACTCGGTGTCAGTCCTGAAGTGCAAAGGGCATTCTGAGAAGGTATCTCACTGCTGTCAGGCAAGTCAGACACAGTAACAATTGCAGCTTATTATTGTTACTTATAGATTTGGTTTATTTTCCTTCTCTTCTGCCCACAAATGCTTCAGAGTAGACTTGCCAGTAGGGAGGGTGAGCAGTGGGATTTAGGGTTAGCACCAGCGCGCTTCCAAGAAAACACTGCAAGAGCTCTGACCGAACAACTCAGGCACATTGGCCAAGGACGCCTGAGCTGGCTTCTCAGATCCTATTCCCACTGGACCGATGTCCAGGCTCAGGACTGACCTTTCTCACAGTTCAGGAGACATTTGACTCTGGGCATACTGTAGGCTTAGCATCTAGTTATTAAGTCAAGGCCAACTTGCGCTCTGTTAGGAGGATAGCGTGCGGTACAGGTGTGATCCTGGCTTTGACTAGGAGGGACTTGCTGCTTTTTTGGGTATGGTTGGTCTCTGATTGTTACCTACTGCCAGCAGTTCAAAACCAGAGTGCCAGTGGTGATAGCACTGTAGCCTTTCTCCTGAAACAGCCCGCTATTCAGCTTTTCAGAAGCAGGAGGAGGGAGGCTTGATGCTGACAGAGCACTGTCATTTTCACGCCTGTCGCATCTAAACTATTACAAAGCAAGCATAGGCAATGAGGAGGTTAAGGCTGTAAGCCATTGCTTTCTAAAAATCCTACTACTGTTGGAATTAGCCAGCGCTGGTAGGTGTTACCACAGGGCACATCTAAAGAAAAGCTGACTTTCATGGACACCTTGTTTGGGTTGGCTGGTTTGCCTACGTTTTCCTACATAGCTAAGGAGTTTATATAGTCACTTAAATATTTTTTCCTCTATGCTTTGCCACCTCTGTATACAGCAAATGGATATCCTTCACTGTAAATCAGATACGGACACCTAGAAAGAGAAGTTCCCACAAGATGCATGAATCTGTGTCTTAATAAGGGAATAAACCACAGCTGGTGTTGAGCAGCAAATGAGCTGTCACTCCTGACCCAGAAGCAGTCTTTTCTGTCAAGTGATAAAGCAAATCTTCACTTAACTCAGGAAAAACACCCTTCACTTTACCTGGCCTGATCTCCACAGTGGTAGGTCTGCTTAAGTATTGATGGGACACTGAGGTTTTTTATGCTGTCATTAAGCCACCACCCCAGGAAAGGCACATCACAACATCACAGCAGATGTGTGCCAAGGGCACAGGCCTCTGGAGATGTTGCCCTGTTCAAGCTCATCCCTGGGCACTGGCCTGGAGCAAACCATGCTGGGCCCTGTATAGGAGCACAGGGTGAAAGGGAAGATGGGAAAAGAAGGAAGGTTTCCTTTGCTCACTACCCAGCTCATGCTCTTGCAAAAGCACAACTGGCGTAAAGTTCGGCCCACATGACTTGTGGAAACAAAGTCCTACAGACATGGATCAAATACTCTGACTCCATTGATCTCAGGCCAGAGAATCTCTATAAAGGTCTTATTGTTCAGGGAGATGAACTGCTCTTGGGAAGGAGTGCTGTTAATACCCTCATGGAGGCAGACGCTATTGCATCAGAGGTTAGCAGATGTTTTTCTGTGTTTTGTCTAATTGCAAGTTATATCTGAGGTTTCTATAACTTCCATTTTCCCTTTGACACTCTTAAATGCTAATCTGAGAAGATTTAGTTGTCTTGTTTGCTGTGGAAGACATCCAGACTGGAACTCACATGTAGCTGTTTCCCATCCTCAGGTGCACTTCTGCCTTCACCCAGTTATCAACAGAAAAGAGCAAATGGGGATGTAGTGATCAGATTTCTAAGGCACAAAAGTTAAAGCTAAGTTTGAGATTGTGACAGCAAGCAACCATGAGCCTAGGAACTCAATTAGCCTGAAAGACAACTATCTCATTATCTTTCCTAAAATGATATAAATACATAAGAATATAAAAATTTAAAATAAACTCTCTATTGACTGTCTAGATGACTGAATTTCACTGCTCAATTTCTTTAAACACCCACTTTAGTATTTATTTATTCTAAGCGTGAAGCAGCTACGATAATTAGACTGTCAGATTTGGTAAGTTAATGAGGAGTCACTGGAGTGGAAGGTTTTGCATTTGTGAGATTGCTGAAGGAGAGAAGCTCTGTCTCTTTTTTCTTTCTCTTTTTTTTCCCCTCCACTGGGTGGAAAGGAGAGAGCTTGGCAGTGTGTAGATCCATTTGAATCCTTTTGATTAGCGGGTTGCATTCCTACCACTGTTCTACCAAATAGTATTTTCCTGGTTGCTCCAAGAAAAAGGAAAAAAAAAAAAAACCCACAAGGATGAGATTTCTAGAGAAGGATGCATAGATTAAAGAAATCATTTCCCAAAACAAGCAGAAGGAATGGAGCTGTGAGAAAATAGGATCCTGAATGAATTTGTATTGTGGCTAATGTCACAGGAGAGCATTAGGAAAGTAGCACAGTGAAGGAAAAGGATCATTTTGCAGCTTTCTCTTAACCTGCTTTTTCTGCAGGACAATCAGTGCTCACAGTTCCAGGACTGAGACTGCAACCTGAAATCTGTGACCTTTTTGTTTCTTACTAAAAAGGCCATCTCTCACAAGGTTCAAGTAAGTTTTGGTAGAAAGCAGAGATGATTAACTAGCTCTTGTGTAAGCACGTAGTTGCCATTGCCAAAGCTGCTGCCATTATCCTTAGCACATGAATTCCTTTGTATACTGAAGGTGGGAAAACAGAACTGATACACAGGGCTGGATGACCACATCCCAGGCTGAGGACAAAGGGGGAAATTTTACATTCAGATATCAGCAAGCCAGTGGCCCACAATGCTTGGTGGTATGGGAGGTTTGGGTTTGTTTCATCATATTCCCAAGACTGAGATGGATGCCTCCTCTGATGCCTCCCCAGTCAAAATATTGCTTCATTTCTCCATTGCTTAAACTGACCAGATTGTTTTGTTTGCCTTTGTCCTTGTCTAGTGAGTTCACATTTTATAGCTTACTTGTTTTGATTTCACACACAGTGGAACCTGACTGAGCAGAGCAAGGCAAAATCTCTTTAGCTCATTAACATCCTTGGTTTTAATTAATCACCACTTTAATACGACATACCTCAAAAAAATGGTTCAGCATCAACATTTTTCATCTCCTGCTACAGAAAGACCAAAAGATCACTTAAAGTCATTCTTATTGAAAGAAATTACTGAAATAATTATTGACATTATTGAAAGAAATACCCTTTTGTTACATCATATCTCTTTGTTTACTTTGTGCATTTGTTAACAGCATGTGTCCAGTCAGTGTCACTGCCTGGGTCTGTGCTTGCAGGGCAGACCTGGAAACTGATCTTGAGGCCAAATTAGCTTGACTGTCCAATTTTCTGCCAAGCTAAGACGCAACCTAAGCTGTGCTAACAGGGCAAACCTCAGCTACCTGTCTGTGCTTTCAGATGCATGTAGATGTCCCTGCTACAGGATCAGGTCCCAGCACTCAGTGCCTGGTCTCACAGCCTCTTTCTACCCCATCTGCCCTCATCACGTAAACAGCAGGCAGACAGGACAGCCTCCAGTCTTTTCAAGAAGGACCTGACACTGCCAGCCCTGTGACCAGACTGGGTTTTAGAGGCAGCCTGAATACATTCCCTGCTCACCTGCTCAAGTGCAGGCAGGGCAGCTGTTCCCTCTCTGTGATCACAGAGGAAATAATCCTGCCAAAAAGCTGGTTGTCAGTTCCACTAAGGATTCTGGGACAACTCACTTGAGGAGGGCACTCATTCTTCAGTTCAGTGAATCTGGATTTGACCAGTTTTAACCGATTTTGAGAGTATTTCACAAATACTTAATTTAAAATAGTGAAAGCATTAAAAGAGTAGGAGATACTCTTATTAAACATTTTATTTTTTTAACATTAACTTGGCCTGAAAGTGACTGTGTCCCTTTTTTTATGCTGCTTAAAAAAATGTAATAAACAAGCTTAAATGTCAATTCAAGTCTTCTTCTGCACTTCATTACAGGAAAACCTTCTGTAAGTGATGGTGTTCATGTTATTAATTTTCTTTTTTTAAAAGGCATTTGGATTCAGACGTGTAAGCAAGGTTATAAATGAAACAGTAATTTTTTTGTCATTTTAATAGGCTACCAATGGAAAGCAGGGGGTTCTGTCTGCTTTTTCCAATCTAATCAGAGGTAGATAGGCATCTAAAGCACAACAGCCTCATGCTGGCACATGAGGGAATGGAATTTCCTGGGAACATAATGAAACTGGCCAGCCCTCCTTCATTGGCCAACCTGAGTTAAGTTACAAAAATAGACAAAGCCAAAAAACTAAACATACCAGGCTCCATCAGGAATCCATAGGCCCTGAGCAACACAGCAAGGAACAAAACACTGTCACAGTCTCCTCCTTGTTCTCCTTCTGGTTTCAGGAAGGAAAGAGAGTGCCAGGTGTCTATCTCAGGGGGACATACAGTCCATGCCAACACTCCATCCATTTTCTATGCTATTCTACCTCTTTCCCTCTACCTGTTGAGGAAGAATGTACGGATTGTTGGAATCTGCTTCCATTCTCATGCTGCCTTTCAAAATGCAGATAAAAAATGCAGTGCCTCTTGTATGTATGTGCTACTGCACTGGCCAAGTGTAGGTGAATCTGTAGAAAGATTCGAGCTTGTTTCGACTGCCCAGGGAGGTTGTGGAATCTCCTCCTTTGGAGACGTTCAAAGCCCACCTGGACACGTTCCTGTGTAACCTTATCTAGGTGTTCCTGCTCCGGCAGGGGGATTGGACTAGATGATCTTTTGAGGTCCCTTCCAATATCTAACATACTGTGATACTGTGATACTGTGACTGTTAACAAGCAAAGTAACTGAAGGCACTAGCCCTGCAGAATATTTGTAATTAGGATTTATTTTTCCTTTTGATTCAGGACTTAGGCCATGGATTTTTATCCTCACAAAATTCCATTGCAACAGGGGCAAATTCTAGCCTCCTTACTGCAAGGATCTTTGAAATCATTCTTAATATTGACAAAATGAAACAAAACCTTTGAGAGTACACACAAAAAAAGGACAGAGTTTGCTCTGGGAGAAGGGAGTGTTTTTTAAAATAACGTTTCAGTAGAAGAGAATTAAATTGTCCAGATGTCCTGCCTTTTGTTTTTCAGAAAGCAATGTCAGAAAGATTGACTTGGCAACGAAGATGTAACAGCACAGTCTGGACACTAGACTTGCAGAATAAACTCAGTGATGTGACACTTAATAGAGAGATCCCTGGTCCAGAAGATCGATGTACAAACAGGACAGATGGGGACTGACAATTGAAAGAATGTAGAGGCTGATCCAAGGCTTACAGAGACCTGTCATTCCTGGGGTTTGCCTACAATCTCCTTCAACAAAAGAGCTCCTGAGGGAAGGAGGGGATTAGTCAGAAGTTGAGTGAAGTCTCCAGGGAAGATGGTTTCTTGGATGAAGTTGTCAACAAAGGAATTGTTGAAGACTATTTGTTATAATTTCCTAGAGGGAGCTTCTGCCATTACTAACAGGATTACCAGCATCCTGGTTCCACACCAGCAGAGCATTAGGCGTGTGCATTGCAGACTGGTTGCTTAGAGCTGAATTCAGGGGTCTTCTTATACTGGGTCCCAAATGTGTGCAGGTGTTGATGAACAGAGGGGAGATGGCAAAGAACTAAGATGCAGCCGAACACAGGCCATTTTTTGTCCAACTGTTGCAGAAAGTCCTGGCTCATTAATGAGTTACCAGAGTGATTTCCTCTCCTTGATGTCAGGTCTGCTGAGGGATTATGACAAGGAAAGCTAATCTGAGTTGAGTGCTGATCAGGATACATGGGGAAATCAGAGAGTTCTTCCCCAACTACAGTTACTGTGAAATTTCTTACAGCATTCTTCCTGGAGGAATTAGGAAAGCAGGCAATTTACTGTGTTCAGGTGCTAGTTGGCTTGGTTTCAGATATCTGGGATACTTTTTCTGGGCTCTGGGACATCAGAAACCAGAAGCCTTGGTGTAACCTCACAGCAGACCTGTGAAGAAGAGGAAGGCCAAGATAAATCATGAAGGTGCAGGCATGCAAACTTTCTTGAATACTTCTTATTCATCTGAGTAGTGTCACTGGCATGACTGGGAGAACTTCTCTGAGCAAGAATTATGCAGATCATTGAGGCACTGGAACAAATCAGTCATGGAGCTATGGGGAAACATCAAATAAATAGGTGGCAGCCATAGAAAGAGCTGAAAGGTGTCATTTCAGTGTAAGGGAGCTATATCTCCAGACCCACCCAAGTCCATTTCTTGCTAACCAAACACTACAGATCTGGGCACACTTTTGTGTTCTCCTTTGCCCTTGCAATAGACATTATTTCAGGAACATACAGATTAGATACATAAAAGAGCACATGGATTATCTGCAGGCACTGCTTAGTGAAGAGAACAAGGGGTATTCTTGTGTTATGTGACAGTCCTTAAAGTTCTCTGCCTTGATAAGAAGGAGAGCTATGTCCCCAAGTCTTTCCACGTCTGGATTGTGTGGACCCAGATCTCCCAAACATCAGCCACCGTCAAAGTGAGTGTGAATGCCTGACCTCCCTTTGCAATACTGAACAGAAATCTTTCTCAGTATTAGGACCTTCTGCCTCTAATTTGCTCTGCAATGAATCTGGAATAATATTACAGTGACCTCACAGCAGTCGAAGCAAGATCAGGCCAGAATGTCCTATAGAGTTCTACTTAGGCATGTGTCTCTTTGTCAGCCTCCCATGTGCAGGTTTATTTGTGGAGAGAAGGGCATTTGGAACCTTTTTAAAAGAAAACCAGGAATTCTTAAGCACACTGGCACCGGCTGTTGCATTGCAAAAGATTCTAAGAACTGGTACAAATAAAGCAGCTTTTGTAAAGTGGCTGCCTGGCTACATAGGTAGAAGACAGCTCTCCACTTGTGAGTTATGGTGCATTATCATATGCGTGTTCAGAAAGGCTGTAAGTGATGCCCAAGTTGGGATGAGGTATTCTGCATTCCTTTAGCACTCTTGGAGATGACTGGGCTAAAAGCAGTGAAGAAGCAGGATCTCTAATGCCTGCCAAGGGCTGGATGTCTGCTCCTAATTGGGAGCCACTAAATGCTTGAGGTATGTTAAATTAAAGGATTAGTTATGCATAGACAGTAAGGGATCTAATGATGAGATCTGAATCACTTTCCCCATGGTGTAAATCCAGACCACCAGTTATAAATGTCTTCTGTCCTGGAGCAGAAGAGAGAATGGCTTTGCTCTTTTACATAGCTGCTACCCCATATTCCAAAATTCTTACACTAAACTGCCAAAGAGTCAAATGATATATTCTAGCTCTGTTACATGGAGGGGCAGAAAGCCAGAAAGACCCTGGCAAAGGATGTCCTGCAACCCAACACCCTTCTGTTCATTAAATCAACACTGGAGGCCCAATGCCTTAAATATGCCAGATCAGAGAGAGAAATTGCCCTAGAACCACTACTCTCCCAAACTAACAGGAGCACTATTCACATCAGGAGTACTTAGTACATTTTCCATCCCCTGGCCTGCACAATCTCAAGGGCAACAAATGGACGTAGTCTTGTAATGAGTGAAGAAGACCAGG